CTCTCTCTCTCTCTCTCTCTCTCTCTCTCTCTCTCTCTCTCCCCCTTTGTCCCCCCCAGCAGTGAGGAGGGGCTCCTCTTGCCCTCCATCAGGCTAAAGTCTCCCCCCTTAAAAGGGGGGATCTCCCCGCTGGGGGACAAGTGAGGGGGCCAGTGAGACCCTAAAAATTAGAAGTGGGCCGGGTGGGGGCTCCACCCCCCCCACCAATTGAACTGGGATTCAGGAAAGGGACAGGGAGCCCCTTCCCCAATGGGGGCAGCGGAAGGGGGGGATGCTTGGAAAGGGCATCTCCTCCCCCCACAAGGGAAGTGTAAATGAGGGGGGTGGGCAGCGCTCGCTAGCCCCCCTCCTCCCTTCCTAGCCCTCTCCTCAAAGGGGGGGGGAAGGGATGGGGGCTCCGGCTTCCAGGGCCACCCAGCCCCTTCACTGGATGAGTGCTTCACTGAAGGATGCTTCAAAGAATGCCAAAAAGCCCCCCCCAAGCCAATTAAGCTGGGGGGGGTCTTCCCAGAAAGGGATGCGGGGAGTGGGCGTTCTCCTGGGTGGATCAGAAATCCCTAAGTGGGTTTAGAGGTCATCTAGCCCTCCTCCAGCTGAAAGCCTGGGAAATCCCTTCTTTGAAGGGGGGGAGGTCTTGTAAACTGAAAAAGGGCCCCCCTTAGTCCTTGCCTTCAGGAGAGGCACCCCCCAAAGAAGGGGAAGCTGCACAGAAGTAGCCCCCAAATGCAAGGGCCGTGTTTGAGCATCAGAGCATTCCTAAAACGGAAAGAGAACCGTCCTGCTTGCTCTTGTTCTGTGGGGTTGGACCCCCCCCATTCCCTTACCTGCAACTAACAAACCAGGGTTTGCTCCACCAACTCAGTTTCCTGACTCTGCCCAGCACGCTTTGTATCGGAGCTGGGTTCGCACCACACGCGGGCCTGCTTTGGGGTTCACTGGAGCAAGGGGGCCCGCAGAGAAACTGGTGGGGGGAGCCAAGGGCATGAGAAAAACCAAAGAGGGGGCAAAAGGGAAAGATTTGCACCCCCAAAACAAAGTAAGGGTTTGCAAGGCCTCTGGGCAAATCTTCCACCCCAAATCTGACAGATTGTGGAATGGATAGAAAAAGGTTAAGAAGGAGTCATTTCCCCACACCCCAAACTACAGTTAGGAACTTCAGGCCTTCCATGACCCCATCATCCCCAGCCACCGGCCCTGCTGGAAAGGCTTATGGGAGTTGGGATCCCAAACACCAACGGAGTCAATTTGCTTTAACTTTTGCTGAAGGCAGAGAATTCAGTAGCATATTAAAAACCCTGGAAAGCTGTTAAAAGGAGGAGGAAGGGAAAAGATAAAGATTCCCGCCCCCCCAGAAAATCTTACAAATCTTAAGTCAGGCGAGGATGAATCCAAAATCAAGGTGATTTTTATTTTCCTAGGGATCCAGGAAGATAGATGTCTTCCTTGTCTCTTTCATTCGATTTTCAGTGGGTGTGTTTTTAATAGTTCTGCTGGCCTGGAAACTGCACAGTGAAAGAAAAAAAAAAAAAGAAAACCTGGGTTCAGGCAACCCTCTGAACCAGTTTGATTAATTATGGTTTACTGAACAAAGGACCACGCCTGGATTAGCATATATGTTAAGAAACTCACCCGAGTTACCTTCTGGCTTGGGCTATTCTGGGAACTCAGCTGTTGTATTTTGGATATTCACTTCTTCCTTCTTTCCATGCAAGCTACGTCAGAAAAACATGATTTTCCTGTTCCTACAGATGACAGGCAGTCATCTGGAGGGCTGGGTGAAAACCCTTTTGCAGAAAAACTCAAGGGGAACAAATACAAGTGTTCCCATTCATCCGAAGAGATATTTACCTGGGGCACGAAGGGGGCTTGGCAAGGCTGAGGGCCAAGAGAGAACACAGTGAAATGTTTTACAACTTGGAGGTTGTGCTCCAACGTCAAAGCAGAGGTTGGGGGTCTTGTCTTCCTCTTGAATTTGTTGCATTTTTGCTTTTGCAAAAGTAAAAAAGAAGGAGGGAGCGTGAAAGGGGGCGGAGACGGAGTCCGAGGCAAAGGCATTCGGACCACTTCTGGTGCAGTTTAGCTCGGTGGACGCTTCGATCCTTGAAAAGTCCTCAAATTCAGCATCGGTTTCTGGGAAGCTGCTTTGAAAAACGAGAGGGTTCAAAAGAGACGCTGGAGCTGGCAG